ATTTATCTTTCACTGGAAGCGATTTTGTTCGTGCCATAAATCTTCTGAAATGAAACGTAACAAATTTCCACTTCCAACTCCTTGAGAAATGCAAGATGACGTATTTTTGTATATATTATTTATTTGGGCAGAAAATAAATTGCCTCAAATTTATGGTTTACTCTGAGAAAAATGCATCCAGTATCATTACAATTGATTAGTTTTAAGTGAATGCTGACCACCTAAATGCTCTTAATGCCTCCAGAATTAACATCCAATATGCAATTCACATGCATCCCCAGCTGAAGTGAGTTCTTGTGACTGGAGTTGCACTTTAAGTGCAGTGCTCATGACTAAATTTAAGCAAGTTGTCACTGCTTAACTCCTGCCACAGGGGTTTCCACCTCCTCAGGCCACTACCTTGTATCCTGTGTGGTGTTTCAGAAAGCTCAGAAGGCACAAAATCATCCCCATCTGCCTTGACAAAGATGCTCAGGTCCCATTGCTGAGACTTGAAGCAGGTTCCTGAACAGCACTGAGTTTTGCTTAAGATAATAACAACCTCTACATGGTTTTGGTGGCACTTTGTCTGGAAACAGAAAGGTAGTGATGAAAAGAGTTCTCCCAGTGCTCCATAGCACCAGATCCATTGGTATGCTCTGGCCAGCCATATCAATGATACAAAGCAGCCTACAAACCTAACGTCTCTGTGTTAAGCCAAGTTTATGGCTGCTTTGCATTACCAGCACAGTGCAAAGCAGCTGGAAAACACCAGTGACTTTGATCCCAAACTATAGAAGGAATCCTGATCATTAGGCTAACGTGATCCCAGGCAATCAGATCTTGCTTTAAACGCAGAAGAAATCGCCTCTCAAGGAGTCTTTGCCATGTCTCATCCAACACAGACTGCTTTTCAGAGGAATCAAAGCTCAACAATTGCATTTACACAGAAAATAAAACTAGCAGCCCCCCATTGTGCACCACTGTGCTCTCCACTCCAAAAATCATATCAGAGGATCCTGGAATGGTTTGGGTTAGAAGGGACCTTAAAGCTCACCCAGTTCCAACCCGCTGGCACGGGCAGGGAGCCCTTCCACTAGAGCAGCTTGCTCAAAAATGGGGGGAAAGCATTATTTGGGCTTTGTGGCATTCAGATAGGTACATTTTAAAATACGACACAAACATCAAATCATTTTGTTTGGGTTTTCAGTGAAATGAAGATAATTTGAGAGAAAATGCTCTCTGGGACAATAAAGGACTGGAATGGTGGCACAATGTGCAACTCCTGTTGGCTCGCAACATGATTTTCATGTATATTTTATGCCTCTACTTTCATCTTTGAGATTTAATTAGCTTCCTAACAATATTCAAAGAGGAAGTTTCAGCTCCTGAGGCAATTTGGAACAAGTTTGGCCAAAATTATCTGCATTACTTAAGGATGATGTTTTCACCCTGAAACTAAAATGCCTTTATTTCTCTGCCAAACACTTCACTATCCAGGTAATCACAGTGCCAGACTAGAAACTTATCTCTGAATAAAAATACTGGAAAATCCATCAGTCAAAGTAGTGTAATGGAAATATTTTACAAAGTATACTCTAGATCATCTGCATTCACAAGGATGAGAGGCTCATTCCCATTTCTCTTAACTCAGTAATTTCTCACATGTCATTAAGCTTTAATCAGAAGACTTAAGTCTTAATCTATCCAAAATTAGCTTTAAGCAGAATATGAAGTACAAGTACAGTTAATCCATGATAGCTTATATACCCTTACATCTGTTAAGGGATAGACTGAAGGAATTATTGTCTTGCTTTCTCACCTAGTCCAAAAAGGGCAAAGGCTAAAACTTCAGATTTAGAAAGTATGCTCAGCTACAAATATATTTGACATCTCTAAAAGCTGTAATGTTACAGCAAGACTTTGAAATCTATGTCAAATACAGTGTGACTTACAATAAAAGCAAGCTGCAAACTCCAAATCAACTGTTTTTTTTCCCCACCTCAAAAGCTTTCAACAAAAGGTGCTACAACTTGTAAGCATTTATTGTGAAAAATCCGTAAGAGATATAAAGTTTAGAAGGGAATAAAAATACCCAAGCCCCTCGGATCCTTACTTCATATTGTGAAAGAGCTGTCACTGAATTTACTTCCTTTTTTCTCCTTCAGAAATAAAAAGACTGACTCTCAAATAGTAACATGGACGGAATATTAGCAGCCATCAATGCAGCACACACACAGGTTGAAATCATCACCTGCTGGGGAGGGTATCTGGTTTACGAGTTGTTTGCAGGGTGTGTTTTGTTGAAGAACCTGTAGCTGACAGTAAGAAGGGAACCAATGCCAGTTCCCTCTGCTACTGCTCTGGAGGGAAGGAGAGAAGGCAGCAGCCAAGTGCTCTTGGCCAGGAGAAACAGGGTTTGAGGGACCAAGGACATGGAAGAGAAACAGGCTGGAATGCTTCCAGTACCAAATTCCCATCTAAACCATAAAGGCATACAAAAATCAGATTTCTTCTGGAACCACGAAAGGAAGTGACTGTGTGGAGCTGGTGAAAACCAGGAACCACCAAAACCTGCTGGACCAAGAACAAGACTGGAAGGGAAAAATGGCCTACTAAGTAGGGGGGAGATTTGTCTGCAGATGATCCTGTATCAGTCCATCTCATCCAGCTGATGTGCGATGTTCCCATTTTGTGCCTTCATGAAACACAGCTTCAGAGCTCTAAAACTCACATAGCAACATTATAGAATCATAGAATACAAGGTTAGAAGGGACCTCAAGGATCATCTTGCTCTCTCTTCGAGGACTGGCCCTACCACACATGACCCCCAACACAAAACATAGGCATCCCATCAAGGACCACTTTTATCTTTTAAGCTTGCAGATGACCCCAAGACAAGCAGATCCCATAAGGCACATTCATGAGCACAGATTGGATGAATCATCTTCACCTTGTTTGTACCAGTTCATTATTAACACCTTCCAAAAATGCAGTGGATCCCTGTTATCTTCCCAGCTGCAATAACTCATATTACCATAATTGCCTCATTTGTTGCTTATCTGCACAACACATAAAGGACTTGGGGACTGTTGGCAGATGAAATCTGCAGCCGCTCCTGCAGGATTCCTCTAAGCTGCATGTAGCATAATGCATCTTTATGCTGCTCCCACGCTGGTCTGGGGGGAAGCAGAAGCTGGGGCCTCCACCTCCAGCTATGCAGACCTCTCACACGTGAGCTAACATCAACAGCTGTAAACCCATAACTTGTCCTGAGGGCCTGGGTCGCTGACGTGTTCGCTGGCAGAGCCCATGAAGAAGCACAGCCATAAACTAGGCACTTAGGCAAGAGGGACCTCAGGAAAGGAAAAAACTCAGAAACCATTTAGATTAATTTAAACAAGAGGAATGTTCTCTTCCTGGACTGTCACACTCTTTGTCTCTCTGGCATCAGGTTAGTAATGCCTCCAAGGACTATGTTATAGAGGAGTTCTGTTATGAAAACAAACTCACTCAGGCTTCTCCTGTGTTTATTATACCGCAGTGATTTGCACATCGTGATGCTCCAGCTATCTTCGCCTCGATCTGCATATAAACTTGTTTTGTTTTCTCACCATAATAAGACCCTAAACACCAGGGGCGGAGATTCCTTCCAGCCATTGCCACATCTTCCACAGCATCTTGTGACCCAGCTGCCTTTGTTGGTGGAAACTTGCTGAACAATTCAAACCACACATAAACCAAACAGGAACTGATAACAGGCTGGTCTGTCTCTGGAGAAACCTCATTGTCATCCCACCAAACTAGGTGACGACACACACCACCTGCAAATGAGAATGGGACCTTCCCATACTGGTCTTTTCCGTGGCAGAGCCCCAGGCTTGATTCACCCAAGTGCAAAGCGGAGGGCACAACTTTCAGTATCCAGCTGCAGACCTGTTCTTTCTCTAAAAGATGATCATGTGGATAATCACAAAAACCTTCACTGGTTTTGTAAGATTATCATAAATCATATTGTAGATGTTAATATTTTCAATGAGTACTCTGAGGAAAGAAGTTTAATGGGTAATGTACCGGCACAAGGGAGAAAACATGCTGAAATGTGAAATGTAAAAACCAGTGAAGCACCAAAACAACAAGTTGTCCCAGAAGAGAAGAACAGAAGGAAGGAATGATCTTTCTCCATCAGCCATGGTAGGGCTGTTAGGAGACCCATGTGGAAAGACATGTTAGCTCTGTAGGAGAGAGAGACAAAGGAACCAGAGGAGCCTGGTCTCAGCCTTGCACCCATGTATATGCTCACTACCTCACCTCCTGCAGTGCTGTCTACCAGCCGTTCAAACTGAGTTAAATATGCCTATAGGAAGAACAGTGCAGGACTGCTGAGCTACCGCTGTCTGATATCGGAAGACAAAACTGAGGGTCAGCAGCAAGACAGAGGAGCACAAGCATTCAAGCATGCTGGTGATGCTCCTTGTGCTACACTGCTGCTCACACCAGCTGCACCAGGCTATTCTCTAGTAGGGAGACTGGAGAAACTTCATGATGCATCTGAACCTTGAATTTGCTGAGGGAAAACTAAAGGCATCCTTGATAGAGGTATATGGGGTCCCCCTTTGAATCTGGTGAAGTCTATGGGCATAGCCACTTATCTCTGTGGCAAAGCTCACTGACAAGCAGCGCAAGGAGTGATTGCTTTGTGATCATTTCTTTTTGCTGCTTCCAGACAACCCAAACTCCGTGGTCCATTTCTGCACCTGGGTGATGCACCCACCTTCAGAAAGCCCATCCTGGTTTGTGGTGAACAGTATCTCCCTCATCACTCCATCAAATTCCCTGGGAATCAAGGTCAGGCCACAGCTTGGCCAAGAGAATATACTTCAGCAGGAAAGAGAAACAACCTTTCTGGTTCCAAAACTGCACTTGAGTAGGTTTATTAATCCCAAAGTGCAAATCAGGGGAAGAAAGACAGGAGAGGAGGAGAAGATACAAGGAATTCGGAGAGTCCAGGACAAAAATAGTACTATTAAACACCTCATTTCTTTTTTTTGGACATTTTCCCAAAGACTTTGAAACCTCTATGGGTTTATAGAGAATAAAAAGAGAAAAGTTTATACCCTTCACTGCTTCTTTATGTAAGGTCTTTTAGAAGACAACTTTGTATAGTGCTGTTGTATGGGGGAACTGGAGCTGCAGCTCTCCCATCCTCATGTCTGGGAGCTCAGCACCAGTCCCAGCCAGCACATCCTGTCTGCAGCCCCCTAAAACAGGAGCACAAGGGAGGCGCCAGTTAGTCCTGCTAAATAAAGGGAGAGAAAAGTCCTACTCAGAAGTAAACCTAATGGGAATGGGTGGGGTGGGGATTATGGCAGCTTTAAACCGAAGTTAAAAGGAAGTGAAAAAATACAGAGTCTTTTGTTCATCATGGGGAAAAATGATTACACAGCACTTTTCCCTGAATTCTGGCAGCAGGTATATGTATCTAAGGAATATATACCATATTTCTTCCATTAAAAAAACTTCTGCCATTAAACGTTCTTTTTTTGACAGCCTAAGATTCAGTACCTGATTTGCATAGTCCTGCTCTGTCTCTGTGCTTGCCAAGTGTAAATTAACTTCTAATTGTCTCTTTTATTGAAATACAGCTAGACCTGCATGTTCTCATGTTATAAAACATAGTTATTGCTTTGCATATAGAAGCAGATGTTGTTTTCAGCTTTGAAAAAACAAACATAAAACAGAGCAAGAAGGGAATAAAGTGACTAGGATGTATGTTGATAGTGGTGAAGTGAAAACACAACTTCACAAGTTCTGGAGTCCTCAACATAAAAAGGACATGGAACTGTTGGAACAGGTCCAGAGGAGGCCACGAGGATGATCAGGGACTGGAGCACCTCCCCTATGAAGGTAGGCTGAGAAAGTTGGGGCTGTTCAGCCTGGAGAAGAGGAGGCTGCGTGGAGACCTCATAGCAGCCTTCCAGTATCTGAAGGGGCCTATAGGGATGCTGGGGAGGGACTCTTCATTAGGGACTGTAGTGATAGGACAAGGGGTAATGGGTTAAAACTTAAACAGGGGAAGTTTAGATTGGATATAAGGAGGAAATTCTTTCCTGTTAGGGAGGTGAGGCACTGGAATGGGTTGTCCAGGGAGGCTGTGAATGCTCCATCCCTGGCAGTGTTCAAGGCCAGGTTGGACAGAGCCTTGGGTGCCATGGTTTAGTGTGAGGTGTCCCTGCCCATGGCAGGGGGTTGGAACTGGACGATCTTAAGGTTCTTTCCAACCCAAACTATCCTATGATTCTGCAAAAGGAGCTCTGCTGAACAGATTAATTATCATTGGCAATCAGGTTCAGATTGAGATGGCCAATAGCTTCAGCGAGACAGGTTTTCTTAGATGCCCTGGCAAAGGCCCTTTAGTCTGGTTTTCATGATCTGAAAGAGACTGAATGGGTGGCTGAAATGCAGTAGGATAACAACAGGAATAAGAGCCAGCACCCAAATCAGATTTGTGCATAATCAGCTCAGGCAATTCAAGCCTGTGAAAGCTTTTAAAGGCTCACATGATCCTAAATGGTTGACATGAAAGGGTAAGTGTACATGTCCATAAAATATTGAGTTTATTTAAATAGCTACCTTGTAAATACAGCTAGGCTGAAGGCTTGGAGAGGACTGGTAATGGACTGCAAGGTCTTTTATTTATAGATCCGCTCCAGTTCAAACCCAGTTCAAGGCATCAGTAGCTAGAAGCTGGATATTTTTCCTGTGGCCTGCACTTGGTCCAGGGCTGCAGAGCTGTGAGCAAGCAGGAGCTCCCAGCCCATAGGGAGCCACCTAGGACAGGAGCTTGCAAGGATGTTACAGGCTGAAAGCCTGGAAAAGGCAATTCCAGCCTTGGAGATGGAGGCACAGCCTCCCTAAGAGATCACATTACTGAGAGAGGGGATGGTTTTAATCCTGCCTGTCCTCCCTAGGTGTGCTGCCTTCAGGGTACCCAAATCTAGCCTCAGGTGCCCCTACAGACAGCACTAAATACTCAGTGTACCTAGTTAGCATCTTTGAGGTTTTAGCTCAAGGTGCTGTTTGCACAGTCTAAATAAGCACAGCCCTGCGGATGTGGTTTAACACAGAAACGGGTCAGTGGTGGCTCTGTCCTCTGGCCCATCTGGCATTGCCACTAGCAAAGCTGGAGGCTGGACCAGGGCAAAGCAGCCTCCACACTGCTGAGACGAAGCGCTGCAAAGACCACAATCCTCCTGAGGTCACTGCTCTTTAAAGTCACTGCTTCAGCAGCAGCAAAGACAAAACAGCAAGCTAAATCTGTTTAGCTCTTGATAACCAGGAGCCAAATAATCATATCTCATGACACAGCTAAACAATGCAGAAAGACAAAGCAAATGCTACTGTACAGGAGGAGTAAGCATTACAGGAGATGAAGCCAGGCTGAGAGAGCTGGGCTGGGGCAGCCTGGAGAAGAGAAGGCTCCTGAAGGGGAGACCTTAGAGCAGCTCCAGTGCCTAAAGGGGCTGCAGGAAAGCTGGAGAGGGGCTTGGGACAAGGGCCTGTAGGGACAGGCCAAGGGGAATGGCTTGAACCTGCCCGAGGGGAGATTGAGGTGAGCTTTTAGGGAGAAGCTCTTCCCTGCGAGGGTGCTGAGGCGCTGGCACAGGGTGCCCAGAGAAGCTGTGGCTGCCCCATCCCTGGCAGTGTTCAAGGCCAGGTTGGACACAGGGGCTTGGAGCAAGCTGCTCCAGTGGAAGGGGTCCCTGCCTGTGGCAGGGGCTGGAACTGGATGAGCTTTAAGGTCCCTTCCAACCCAAACCATTCCAAGACTCTAAGATTTTATGAGTTTAGACACTTGAGGCCACTCCTGGTGAGAATGCACTATAGCTTACTTTCAAAATTCTCAGGAACAGAGATGGAAGAATTGGGATCTAAGGTCAGCCTCTTACCCAGAGGCCATGACCACAGGGGATGTGAGAGGGTTTAGCAGGCAGTTCCTTTCCAACCACCAGCTCTGAGGGCTGGAGCAACAAGAAGCAATTTAACACACCCAGGGCAAGTCCAGAACACAAAAGGAGATCTGTGCCACCTACTGGGCTATCAAATATTTAATGGGGTGAGGAGAGCTCAGATTCAGAGTGGAAAAAACACAAAAAAGCTGGACCATGTGTCAGGGATGAGGACCGAAGATGCAGGATGTGTTCTCTAAACCACACTGTAGGTTGAGCACGGCCACTCAACTGTGCTACCCCACATTCTGCAGGTCTTCCTGCAGCTTACAGCAACATTTCTGCTAGACAGAGAGGGCTACAGTAGAAATACTATTGCAGTTTAGCAAAGGGAGTAAATGATCTTCCTTTGCACCCATTCCGCTCTCAGCTCTCATCTATTTTCAGGGCATCAGGTCTCCCCTAACTGTAGAGGAAGGATAGGAAAGGAGTCTGGGCTGTAGGAAGGAGGCAGAGAAGGGGCAGAGGGAGGTGAGCAGACACCCAGACAGCTACAGTTCACTCAAGACAAATCCCTGTTTTGGATAGAGCTGACCAGACTGTCTAGTCACTGTATATATATAGGAAGGAGCAGAAGTTTGCAATTACATTCCATTTATGTGGTTTACATATAGCCATGCTTTATAAGCTTGCACACATCAAGGCTGAGCATTTCAGTGGGCTTTTTCCAGGGAATGGGGTTCTTATCTCCTCTTAGGAAATAAAAACATGGGCAAATTTGCTTTTCCAGGTTGAAGAAACCACAGAAACGTGAAAGACATTTGTATAAATAACATCATGCACTGAATTCCACCATTCCTTCTTGCTTCTACTTATAGCTTCAGCTGCATGAAGTGTTTCTTACTGGAACAAATGTGTCTTTCTTTTTAAAGAAAGCCCCAGAGCAGATTTACAGCAATTCTTCCTATCAATGAACAAGCTACTGGAGCTCCTGATTCCCAGTGTTGTCACAACCAAGCACAGTGACCATCTCATTTGTGGCCAGATGGTTTGAATTAGAGCTGACCCATTAGAGTAGCGGAGCTCCCACCTCAGCCCTGCATGTGTGACAGGCCAGTGCCCACAAATGCTGCCTCCTGCTCCTAACTCCAAGGGCATGAAGGTTACAGCAGAAAACCAGAATGGTGCATTAATAAAGGCTTCCCCAGTCCATGCCAATTGCAACTCGAATGTTCCTATTTCCAAAGGATACGAGATGTTTCCTAGCAAGGCTGGAAAACCAAACTAATAGTAATCCTTTGAGTGGAAAAGACTTGCAGTTTGAATCAACAAAAAGAGGTGAGAATATTGCCTTTACTCCAGTAATGCTACCGCCTCCAGCTGCACCCATCTCCCAGTGGAAGAATGGAGCTTTCATAGCATAAATAAGAAAACCTACAAACAGGAGCCACACAGATACAAGCATTTCAGTATTAAACTCATCACACTCTGGCATTGCAGACCCAGCTACATAATGCACCATTACTTATCCACATGGCTTTACCTGTTTTTCAAACCAAGCACATGAAACCTGTGATGTGTTACAGAGTGAGAGCTCCTGCATGCTACTGATTGTCCATGAAAGCAGCTCAATTAATTTCAGCAGGGAAACGAATGGGAAGCTCCAGCTGATTCCAAATAGAAAACTCAGTGAGAAAAGTGCTCTTTCTTAAATGAAAAATAAGGAAAACTTTCTCTGCAAGATGGGTAATGAAACAAAAGCTAAAACACACCAAATTGGCTACAAGACTCAGCCATTGAGGAGCATCACAGATGAGGTCTTGTGATATGCCCCAGCAGCTTGGCCTGACTGCAGCCACAAGCAGCAACTGAAGCAGAACGCTGCGACGGCCTGGTTTGAGACACAGCGGGATGTGTGAGTTTAGGCTGTTTGAACACAACCAGCTAATCCTAAACCAGCATTTGGCAGCCTGTTGACAGTTTATTGACCCTGACACTTTATTGTTGTCTTCCCTAAAACACAGCACCATTTCCTTGTTCAGGAAGAGACCACGACAGCCAGACCAACCCAAACCCCCTTGGAAGCAGTAAGGCTTTTAGTTCACCCCAGAGGTACTATGGGGAGTAGGGCTTACCCTGTATGCTCTTGAAAACCAGTCAGTGCTCAGCAAAAGGCTGGCTGAGACTGCATTGCTTTGCATGAAGCGTTGTAAAAGAAATAAAATTCCCAGCAAACAGGAGCTTAGTTGTCATCTCTGCTTTTCTTGAGATGGAAGAAAGCTCGAAAGCCAAGAAGTGAGCAAGTTGTTCATTCTTCCAGCCATAAAACCTTACTATTAAACATTTA